AATGGTTTCCGTAACAGAAACCTGCTCTTTACTTTTTACACTCTTCGGGTGTGGCTGATTACTTTTACTCTGTTCAAAATTAATTATTGTTTTGCATCATTTTAAAATCTACCCCCTTATTTTCAAGCTGATCAGTGACTACGACCAGCCAGAGGTGAAGAACTTGGTGGACTCGTATGACTGGTATATTCTACCCGTGGTCAACCCTGATGGATATGAGTACTCTCACACACACGTAAAAGAACGATTATGATTTATACTATATAATTGCTAATTATTACAAACCAGCAAAGCCGTCAAATGCACAGACAAAAAGCAGAGAATAATAATGCACAAAATGGGATACTGTCAATTCTGATGCAATAATACATTAGTGAATGTATGAGTCAAAATAATAATCCAGTAGAGCTGGACTGTTAATCATTATGTCATATTGCATCAAAATTGACAAATAAAAAACCTACTCAGTGCAATACCACCACAAATATTATGCAAAGAAAAATGAACCACTTCTTATTTTTTTAACTTTCAAGAATGATTCTTAGGATTGTCGTGCAACTAAAATTAGAAAAACAGCTCTACTGGATTATAATTTTTTGTGGAATTTTCTCATTCTTGTATTTTCAAAGCATGAACTTGAACTCTCTTAGGTCTGAAGCCTTATGCTTGTTACACATTTTACTTTCATTGGTATTACCTGTTGTGCAGAATTAAATAAAATCTGATGCTGGCTTTGCAGTTAAGCATGATGTATTATTGCATCAGAATTGACGGTGTCCTATTTTGTGCAACATTATGTTTTGCTTTTTTCTGTACGTTTGACAGCTTTGCTGCCTTGTTATTTCTCATTTTTTTTATAAAACGAAGTCATTTTACACGGTGATTTGTGATTTTCTACTCAAATTTTCAATGAGATGTGAATTAAAATTTATTTACTCTGATTTGTGATTTGATGATTTTATTTCCTGTGAAGTGTGATAACCCCCCCCCCCCCCCCCCCACCAATAGGACCCTCATTTAAACCTTTCAAGTTGACTCAAGCCTTAAATGTGCTAATAAATTACTTCACTGTTTTAGGATCGCATGTGGCGCAAGACACGTTCACAGCAGGATAATGATTGCTACGGAGTCGATGCTAACAGGAACTTTAACTTTCACTGGAATGGTAGGAATACGTTTGCGCCAGAACGCATACATACACTAATGACCAAAAGTTTTAGTCGAGCTGCTACTCCTAGGGCCCAATGCTGGAACGCTGCAATGTCTTTTCTGAGACTCTTTTTAAAGATATGTATTCCTTATGGTAAGAGAAGCAACATTGAGTTTGTTACAACTTTCGAGACATTTTTCAAGATGACCGCCGATTGGTGAGAGAAAATAGAAAAACAGCCCAAGAACAGTTCTTTCAGAACAGTACAGCATTTCTGTTAAAGGATTACAGATAAAGACATTGCAGGGTAAGCAGGCATGCTAGACTATGAAGCAAAATCTTTTTTTCCAGAATTTTTCAATATATTTGTAGTTAGTTGTACATTTAGAAACGTGGTTTTGGAAATAGATGTCTGTGTAAAACAGCGCGTTACAATTGATATATTCCATTTTTCATAAATTATTGGGAGTATTTATATTGCAATGGGATATTTTGGATATATCATGTTTCACTTGAAAATATTCTGTCTGACTTCAAGTATGTTGATTAGGAGACTTCAAATGAGTGCAATAAATTCTGTCGCAGCTGTAACTGTTTTTAGCCTGGGCTGTAAGCATGTAACGTATGTTAATGAGGTATTAGTACTGAAATATGTTAATATTGGAAGTAACTGGAAACTCAACAATCAACATGCATGGTGGCGGTTTAGAGAATTGCCTAGACCTTCCTGTGCCAGTTTCTGGCGTTATTGCAATGAAGATAATGTGAAAACAGATTTTGAAGTTAATTGTTAAGCAATGAGTAGAAGTAATAATTATCAAATAATTGCGTTTATTTCGTGAAACGAAAGTCTTTTAGACTGTGCAATAAAAAAGACCACATGAATGTTTTGGAGAAAACATAGTGAGTGTTAAGAAACCTTCTTTGAAATAAGAGAAATTAACAGAATCAACATTACAATTACATTTTTAAAATATTTAGTTTTTATACTATGTAAAAGTCATTCTTTTCTTAGAGGCTGGAACTGACCCGGACCCCTGTCACAATACTTTCGCTGGCAAGAGGGCGTTTTCCGAACCAGAAACCCAGGCGATGAGTGATTTTATCTTGTCTAAGAGGCGTGACATTAAGATTTACATTAGTCTCCATAGTTACGGAAATTTATGGCTGACGCCATGGGGGTACACCAGAAACCTTCCAGGTGACTACGATGAACTGGTGAGATGATATTATTATTATTATTATTATTATTATTATTATTATTATTAAGCCTGAAAAATTGAGTACAGAACGTGACGTCATAAGGGCGTGAAATCGCTTGAAGAGATGTTAAATTTTAAACCCATAAGGTAGAAACTGTGTTTCGGGAGTGTCGTCTCCAAAATCAATACAGTGGCACACAAAACATATGGAATTAGTACTGATGCGGGATTCAGAGGAATGTAAAGGTATCCTCTCCACGTTTAAGTGTGTCCCAAAATCATATTTTCTGTCAACATTATCTTCAAAGCTACTACTAGGCATGAAAAAACCCTCAAATAAAAGTACTTGATGTGGCTGTAACTTTCTGGAATGTTCAAGAAGACACATAAGATGATGAGTGACTGGTCAATCATTTAGAATTGAATTATTCCATGAGATATGGTATAAAACATCGAATCCAAATACAGGGACGGATTGAGCGATGCTCATTGAGTAGGGGATGGCTGCTTTTTTCCCGAAAAATTAAATTTGTTTAGAAATCTGGATAGTATATTTTAATAGAAAATAACAAAAAATATATCTGGATTAATTCTAGCATCTTTTATTCGTTGCTGCAGCGCGCTCACTTGTCTACCATTATTACTGCAGCTGGTTCTTCTCTCCTTTAAATTCTGATTTGATTTAACGCTAATTTACAAGACTTCAGATCATCCCAGATGATTCCCTTTACCAGTCTACATCTCCAATCTAGAGTGATTCAAAACCTAGGCAATTACAAACCCCAAAACCAACTTTGTGGTTCGTAATAATAGGAGCATTTCTGGATACTGTATACCTCCAAAATTAAGGGGCTAGTGCTTAAATTCCCTAGAATTTGTCTATTTAAACATCTTTCAAAAACGGAAATAGTTCTGTAGGAAGGCTGTCTTATTTTATTCCAGCTAAGAATCGCCAACATAGCCGCTGCTGCCATACTTGCTGTCAGAGGAGAAGAATATTTGACTGGATCTGCTGCAGGACTGCTATCATGTATGTTTTCCTAACACACAACACATACACACTAAAATACCATTTGTATCACTGTTCTAGTATGTTGTACTATATTTGAGTATTATAGTATTACAGTTTATAGAAATGTTTATAGAAACTTACTTTGGAACGGAAAGTTTCGCTTTTGCATAAACAGGTGTCTGCCTTTCTTTCGGGATTTAACAGTATACTATAGATACTACAGAATTTATTCCATTCATTCTTATAAATGAAATCTGGTAGTATGAAAAGAAAGACAAAAGATATAATGAAATTTAATCGGATAAGATTTGTCGATATTTTATACATACATGTATTAAAGTTATATTTGATACTTTGTATGAACAGATTCATATAAATCATAAAAGATGCATTCAACAGGACAATATCAAACATACCATACCATGTGGTGCTTCATTTCATATTACGCTCGAAGAGAAGGCGTAAAAACAATGTATTATTCTCGCAAATTTTAATGAAAATTAAATGAAAAGTTACTAGTAATTGAGAGATGAAAAACTTGAACATGTGTAGCCAAGATAATTTTTCGAGACCCCCCCATCTGTCATTTTCAAATTTCAACCCCCCACCCTAAATCTTTGCTCAAAAATTTCCAGGGTTCCCTATTTTCTCCCCCCTCCCCCTAAAAGTGGGTTTTAGAGCGACTTTTACTTAATTATGGGTGCCAGTCTTAAAGAGCAATTTCCATTTGTCCTCACAAAATTGGGATAGTAATTACACAATTGGTTTTTATGACCCAATTAATAGAGAAAGTACCTGAAGTTGTATAGGTAAAAGGCCACATTAGTGCTATAATTCACCATGTTATTTTGGAATCTCTGCCATTAGAATTTGACTCTAATTCACTCGATCCATTTTCTATTTTTCTAGATCTCGCTGCCGGGGGCTCTCGCGACTGGGCTAAGGGCAAAGCGGGCATTAAGTATTCCTACAGTGTAGAATTGAGTCCCAGTATAAGAACGGCTGATTGGTCTTTTAGGTTCGAGCTTCCCCCTCGTTTCATCCCACTCGTAGGCGAAGATCTTTATATGGGTCTTAAAGCTGTAGCTGAAGCACTGCAGGAAAAATTAACCCTTGAGATGAATGTCGGTTGCATCTAGTGAATATATTTCATTTCATGAAAATAGTGACTGCGTAAAAAAAATCAAATTCTGTTTTTTAAGAACAATATTGTTAAATTCCGATTGTCAATAATTAAGGCTCTGAAAAGTTGCAATAAAACAGATGGAACATACAGATGACAGTCGTACAGATTCTTTTATGCTATAAGATAAAGAAATTAATTTGATATAAATATTTGACATTCCTGTTAATATCAATGCAACTGGGGAAAATGTCCAGTCTTATAAAATTTTAATTCGGATCAGTGAATTCTGATTTTGACCAGTAGTTTTAGGTGGTCCGAATGGCGAATGCTGAAAAGTTAATGGCATAGACTTTGACGATTGTCCTTTTAATAAACTTGCCTATTATGTATCATAGTGATATCAAGCAACTAAATCCGAATTGCCAGAATTATATAAACATTCTGCATTCATAAATGAAATAAAGACCTCAGCAAATCATTTATGCAGACAACCCACTACCAGGCTCGCAGATTTTAATATGTGCACTTTTTCTCTAACGGAACCCTGTGACTTTTGGCCAGAGGGCAGCAACCAATTCTGTCAGCGCGCAAATGATACTGTGACGCTGTGTCCGCTCTGTGGAAGTAAGGCTTCCTGTCTTGGCTGAGATGTCTGCTGAAACAAGTCACGCGGTTTGAAGGAATGCTCTGAAGTAACAAGCTTTTCATAAGGGGCTCTTTATATTTGTCAAAAAAAGAGCAAGTGATTTTAAAAGATCAGAACATTCAACTGTTTTGATTGCTGTCAAGGGGGCTTGGATTTGACCTGCTGAGTGGCAGTGCCTGGGTAGTTATGCAAATAATGACCAGCTACGTAATCATCCTCGAGATTTCATTAATGGGCCACAGTGCAAAACAGTCCCATGATTTTTTAAAACGACACGTATCTGTGAATGTTTGGTGAAAAAACAATCTGTGGCTCTGATAGAGGGTACCTGCACACCATTGTGCTGCCACCTGGCGCTCACCATTCAGACCACATCGCAAGAAAAACCAGCAGGATTTTTTTTTAGCAAAATGCCGACAAAATTCCTTAACGATTCCCAGTCACAGTTAACCAGACACAATTTTAAACAGATATATAAAAATTGCTCTCAAACTGTCACTCTCAACTGAACAAATGATAACAACAACTCTGTATTTGTGGTCCGTAAAAAGAACCTTTATTCTAAGAAACTGGAGAAAAATATTTTCAAAATGCTTCTCCACATTATTGGACTTTAAATTGTGACAAAACATTCTACCACGTTACCCTCTCACTCTACGTCTCTGCTGAATTCAACATCACATCTTGCTCACATTCCAAGCTAAAGATCTCGAGACGTCTTGATTGTATAAGAATATTCAACTCTTAGCCATTCGACCACTCTATTCACCACATGTCACTATCATACATTTATCCATATAAAAGCAAACTTCTTGATCCACAGTTATAACAATAATAATTATAATAATAAAAAGCCTTATAGTTAACTTTCTTGAAATACCACATCTTCTCTAGCTATTTCTCTAATTGCTAGCAGTTGTTAGTTCAAATATCTTGCATGTAATTGAGAAACATTTTATTGCCATACTGTTAAAAATTATTAGTCTACCATAAAAGATGCATCCTTAACTTTGCTGAAAACAGAAATCCCGTAACTATTAGAGCAGTGCTCAACAAGGTTTCCAATAAACTTATCATTTTAAGTCCAAACTTTTCTTGTATCCATGTGTTAAATAAAATAACTTCAATCTTAATTAAAGGTGAACTTGGATTGCACATACTGAGGAAACGAGGTCTCCAACTTTGACAAAATCTGGCCAAAAGTGAACAACTCTGGTCTGTGCTTGAATTCAACAAAATATAATAATATTTGATGAGATGCATCTGTATTTTTACACCAAGTTAGATAACCTGCCTCGTATCTGTCCAACACATCTATAAAAAAACTTTTTACTTATTTATTACTGTGGATATTTCACATTATCCACACTGTACAATAATACTAGCCATTTACACATATTGCAATAAAATCTAGTTCACCATTTATACATAAAACAGAAAAGACACTGAAGTCTTCTAGGCAAAAATCTTGCATGGTAAGACTTGTGCAGAAATGAGTAAGTCCAAACATTGCTGGTCAATAATAAAAAATTCCATATTTCATTTGAATCAAGAAAATTGCTTAACTCTTCAAGATAAGGTTATAATTGAAGCTGTGCATTTCTTTTCACTTTGTTTTTCTTAAATATATGGAGTACACATTTCCTTTTTTATTGTAATTAAGTATCCATAAGAACAACTAAAATCAATAATATACTACATACTTCAATACTTTTAACAGAAACACACACACAAAATAAATAAATAATAAAAAAAAATAATTATATAAAAAAATCCAACATTTGTTTTGATTTTCCTTTAGTACATCTCACCAGACGGCACCAGTGCTGCACATCCCCTTGTTTTGAGGGTATGAAAGACTGCGTCATTGAAGAAATGAAATTAAAACTAGAAATTCACCTTGTTTCCAACACAAAAGTCTTGTGCAATTTTGCAAGAATTAAAAAGGTATGCTTTATCATTTTTTTTGGAAATCCTTAAAAATTTTTTAGTAAGTTATTCTTTACCCCAATATTCTGCAGTTACGTTTGCAACTTCTTAAAATGAAATAAAAATAATCTTGACAACTCATAGATAAACTGGACATGTGACTCTTTGTCAAATCCACCATCTGTTATTGCTCCATGTAACATAACATAACATCTTCAAAGATTGTCAATTATAACAGCTGTCAGTACTGCAGTCCAGGTCATAGAGACACAATCATTCTCAAAAAATGAAAAAAAAAAAAAAAAAAAAAATTCAATAGTCTTATTTTGTTTCAAACAATCTTTTTTTCTGACAATCTCTTGACTAGAACTTAATCTTTGCAAAGTCATTCCTGGATATTTAAAATCAACCAGCACCTAAAAAATATTTTTCTCAGCTGTATAAAATACTTTTTTTTAAGTGTTTGAATTTTTTGTTTGGATTAAACACTTTACTTCCACTAAACTGATTGTTTTTTTGCAAGTCATTCTGTCAAAATCTCTCTTCTGACAAGTGAGGGGTCTTTGCACACCTGAACATTGAACTCACCAGACTAAAAGCACACCCGGACAAAATTAATGTTGTCACAATCTTTCCCAGTGTTGGAATGCTGTAAGATTTGTCTTTATATTTTCCTTTCTTTCCATTTTTAGACATTTTAAATATTGTTTTTTTTTTTTCTTTTTTGAGAAAAGAAAAAAAGTCAAGCACAATAATTTACATGCAAACTGGAAGGAAAATATTTTTAGAATTTTTTTTCACAATTTTAAATTTTTTTTTTGGTTGTCATGATTGCGTAATATTGTATACTATAATAGAAAGACATCATCACAGGACTATAAATTCTGCATTATTGCAGCCATCATTTCGAATCTTCATCTCTCTAAGTTTCAAAGTCGTCATCCATCATGAACAGGCTAGCTCAAACCCTGGTGGATATCTTTTCAACGTGCAGTATCATTACCACAGAAGAGACGAAGTTCCACTCTGTTCACACCATCTGATTACTTTCACATGCCTCCCTCTTAATATACCTCCTCATACCCACTATAGTGGCCTCTGTGCCTTGGCAGTCTGCCTATACCTCTGCCTATATCAATGCTTCCATCAGTAGTTTCTAAGAAGCTCGAGTTGTCCATGGTAACATGACATGGATTGTCTACATAAAGAGGAGAGGAGCTTTGTACAGATGCAGAGAAATTTTCCATCACTGCTCAGAATTCTCGTTTTGGATCACTGAGGGTAGTTTACGAGGAATCTTGTAATGGATTTCTCCGAAGAACATTTCAGAGCATATTGAAGTCAATGCCTGCCAAAGTAAAATGGCAGACTTCTAAAGCAGCATCACCGCCGTCCACCCTCTGCTGGATTGTTATTGTCCCTGTCGCGGCGCTGAGAATTTTGTCCGTTGCTATTTTTCCTGCGCTTTGCGCAAGACTTGTATTTCTTTCCACCCCCGCTCCCTGTTCCACTGTTACCTTGGTTACCTCCACCAGAACCCATTGCTGATTGGTTGCGAAAGGTGCGCGTCCAGCTGTGAGCTACAGTTGCAGATTTTGGCAGGACAGTCCCACTGTGCGCCTCTGATGCCGCCACGGTCGATGACACAGAAGTCCTGCGGCCACTGCCACGCCCAGAGTCATTACTTGTGACAGACGCGGATCGGCGTCTTCTGGAGTCGGAGCTTATGTCTCTCTTTTTGGTGAGTGTGGGTTGGGAGGCGGAGTGGCGCGGACTTGGCGAGGCGTCAGACTTGGTGGGCATGCTGCTGTTACGTATGATTGTTACTGAGGCACTTTTGGCAGGGGGTCGACTTTTGGGACTTTCCACAGATATATCAGACTCCTGTACAGAAAAATGATATCACATGAGGGCTGCTTTTTATTTTTCTTTATCTGTTTTCTATTTATTAACTCATTAAAATTTTTCATCACTTTATATGTATGACACATTCAAACCTAGATCTAGGAAGAAGGATTCGCAAAACCATTTAGACGTGAGAGAGAGAGAGAGAGAGAGAGAGAGAGAGAGAGAGAGAGATCCCACTTACTGTGTCACTGGCTATGCTGGAGCTGCTGGAGGCGGCAGGAGAGGAAGAAGACTGGCACATAGAACTGCCGCTGTCAGATATCTCCACCTCCTTCAAACTGGACAGGTTACTCCTGGAGACAATAGCAGGAATATTTTTCAATTAAATAGTAAACACTTAACCAAAATATCCAATTGTCTGTGTTACTAAACATAAGTCTGCCATACATGCAGGCCTGCACACACACACACATACACGGAGCTGCCTTACCTCACTAACTGTTCCTTGACTAGAGGTCTAGCAGGCGGCTGTGTGGCCACGCTGGCGTAGGTCTTACTCGGACCATCTCTGTTTGGGCTGTGACTTGGGCTGGGGCTGGCGCTGGGACTGGGACTCGGGCTGGGAGAGGACGCAGCCTCTATCACCACGTCTTCCGCGGCTTCTACCGCCTTGCCAAACGTCTCCTTAATCCACTGTCTGTACTCCACGACCTCATCTGTGACGCGGATGATGCGACTGAGAAGACTGCAAAGACATGCATACACAATACATTACCCCTTTATCAGAGAGTCAATGGCTGAAACTTTTTTCACATCACGCTAGAAAAGATGCCAACAATGTCGTACGGCACATTGATCAAGGCATGAGTAATGGCTGAAAGCTCTTGTAATATGGTTTCACAAGTTGTGGTCATCAGTTTTTATACTCTAAAATCTATTCACAAACTTAAATTTTTTTGTTCTTTTAAAAGAAATTTTCTGAATCCAGCCTCAAATAAAGAAAATGACTAATATCTCAAGACCTGTGATCTTTAAGGAAATAGGAACATCTATCAGGACTCCAGACACCCTGACATACCTCTGTTGTCCCTTGAATACATCAGAATTGGCTGACAGGGCTGCGTTACTCAAGGTCAGGTAGGCATACTCAAAGGCGTTACGAACATTCAGGGCTCCATATGAGCTGCGCCCAATGTCATTTCCTATGATAAAAAATAAACAAGAAAAGACATTTAATATTTGCTTCACCTGTACTTTCCATAAAAAGTTACTTCACTGATGAATTCCAGATTAATTAAACAGTTACTAAGTCATATGCAAACAGTTGTAGTTTTTTGATATTTTGGTGTCAGCAAAACCTGTGGGATTAGGCAAGGTCTATTTTAAAACAAACAAAAGGCACACATTTCTCACTACCCCTGTTACTTACCTGGGTTAAGAGGGTCCTCGATACAGAGCAGAGAAGGTCTGTAACCATTCTCCATCTCCTTCTGGATCTGTTCCTTTGGCACGTACGCCCCGCCATCCTTGATACGGATCCCCGTCTTCAGGTAGTTGAAGTGGCGGCCGTACAGCTCAAAGAACTCGATGAGGAGAACACCAAGATTGGCATCTTTAGAGGTGGCGTCTATTCTGGGATGGAGCTGAGAGGCAGGAAATGTAATTAAATCCTTAATAATTAATCAATCAATCAATCACACACACACACACACACACACAAGCCAAACATATTATTTGTGAGTAAAATTGGGGGCAGGGATTGCTTAGAAAAAAGATCTACCCCCCCCCCCCCCACACACACACACACACCCATATACTTTCCCAAATCTTTACAGTGTTAACAATGCCTTATGTGATTCTATGAATTCTTATATTCAGCTATAGGTGGCAGCACATACTACCAACAAACAAGACAAGACACCTGGGAGCTGATGGTTTCAACTGTATTAAAAAAAAAAAAAAAAACACTCTTCCCTCTTATTTCCTGTGCTGAAAGCAACCGTTCAAGTTCAAAAATCAATGACAGCCAGTGGAAGAGATTCTTTTGCTCGACACCAGGTGTCAGCACTTACCTGTAAGAAGCTGACAACCATCAAGATGAGACAGTATGAGCTGATCCCCCCAGTGAACACCTCATTCAGGTCACGCTGCAGGAGAAACTGCTTTAGAACCATCACCAAGTACTGCAGGGTGGGGTACTGGTCCCGGTATTTCTGAAACCACAACATGCAATACTGTTATATCATCTATATCAGTATGGTAGTACTAGTGGTAGAAGTGGGGTACTGGTCCCGATAATTCTGAAACCACAATATGAAATATTGTTATGCCATCTATATTGAGAATTCATATTTCATTATATGAAAGAAAATGGTAACTTTTAATTGATTATTATCCAGGGCATGGTAAATAGTAGTTACATATTAATGACAAATGTCTCTTCATAAAAAGAAAACAACACAAACATAACCAACTGATAAAGATGGCAGAATTTGTCATACAAATGGGTCAAATGAAGGCAATACAGGACAAGTTCTGCTTTGTGATGTATGAATATGGGCTATTTATAAATTCATAGCAAAGGCAAGCAGAAATTTCCTGATACATTCCAGTCTTAAACATACAAAAATAACAATGAAGTTAAATCACAGTGAGCTTCTCTGTGGCATTTCAGGAACAGTTTTTAGTTCCAGTATATAAACAATGAACTATATTTAGATCCTCAAGTGAAGACAGAAACTTCCTGAAGCATTTAAGTCAGCCTTTCGTGTGTGTGTGTGTGTGTGTGTGTGTGTGTGTGTGTATATACAGTTACCTATACACTTGTTACAAAGAAGATATACCACAGCCCTGCTTCGAAAAAAAAAAAAAAAAAAAAAAAAAAAAAAAAAAAACATCTTAACAGGAGGTTAACTTTTACAAAGTGGCAAGCTCACTTAATCTATATGCCTGTACTTATGCTATACCCACGTTAGCAGGACTGTGCATAAGGTGGGGTTATGCTTAGGGGTGGGTGTGGGCGTGGGGTGATGACATCACAGGGTTCAGCATAAGTTTTAGCTTTTCAGGTCATGTTAAGTTTAAATACCTGTATGGAGGATGTTACCCTTTTCCTCATCATGCGACACGTTCCCAAACATTTTTTTGGTTTAAGGTCAAGTTCTCCATAAAAAAACGTAGACAAAAAATGTTTTTCTCATCTAAAATTGCATACATTTTAAACACAAAAACTAAAACGCTATTTAGTGACAAATCCAATTAAACACGACAGAAATAACATAGCAAATGCGTCAGAGCTGACGACGTACAGTGTTGTACACAATTAGACTAAAAGAAAGCAGACGACAGCACAATAGTGTAGCCTTACCATAATGAGTTTAGCGCTCTTCACACCATTCACCATGTTGAAGCTGATATCCACCTTGACGTCAGTTTTGATGTCGGTCAGTTTCACAATTGGGACCTAGAGTAAAAATAAAATTCTGAGCTATGACTGGGATTTATTTATGGAGCATAGATCGACTCTTTGTCAAAAAAGAAAATCTTGAAAATATCTGAAGATGTGATGAATGGAAATTGTAATTGCCTCCATGTGTTAACATTTTAATCCTAACTTTTGGAGCTTATGTTGATAACAAAGTAATGTAACCAAGGCCCTATGATGAAGAGTCTATATATGTCACAGGTAAAACATGTTTCTTTAAAAGCAATTAATTTTTTACCATCTTAACACAAAAAAGCTGATAAGATGAAATACAAATTTGTACAAACTGATGTATGTGCAGGACTCTGCTGTCTCAGCACTTAACCTATAAAATTACACTAACAGCAAAGAGAGCAAGTGCTTTCCCCCCAAGCTCCTCTCATCCTGAGTGCTTTCCATGAAGGGAATCAAGGGTGAAGGAACATCATTAAAAAGTTACCAACAACATCCATTTACACATGCATCCTTGATCCAAGTACTTGACCTATACATCTAAAAGTATAGAAGCTTAAGACCAAGGAGTCAGATCCTCAAGATTTGGGTACAAGTAAAGTGTAATTTACAATGGCGGGTGAGTGAGGAAAGAAGCAAGGTTTTCAAAATTAAAGATTTCTAGTCTTGTCTGACCTCACTCAGTGTCCAAAGTCTGGTTGTATGATGACTTCTGTAGTGTGACTGTCACATTGCAGACATGCTGAAAACATTTGGACCATCAGTAATGAAAAATTTGCCGGACCAAATGAATTTTTGTTGGACAGAAAATCACCCTACTCGTTTGAGACAGATACTACCAGTACGATTAGGTAGCTTACTTTGTTTGTGAATGTGACAGATTTGAAATGGAAGGGGGAAAAAAAAAAACACTTTGGGTTTTATATAATTTTATTGGTAAAGTATGTCATACGATGACTGTAAATTCACTATTGTGGTTTTTAAAACTCTCGTCTGTCCTTTGGACTGACCAAGTCCAATTTTCTATGGGTCCAGACAAATGTTCCATGTCATGACCGATCGGACTGACAGTTTCAGCTTGTCTGCATTGGTATGATGTAAAGCAATCAACTCCCCCTTGGGCTTGTGAAATTTCTAGAATTCAATCTTTCATATATTTCATTCAAAAATGCATTAAAAACCCTGAATAAGGTCTGGAGTATTCACGCAGGGGGGAGGGGGGGGGAGTGGCAGGGATGGTGGCATGCAGTTATCGGGTCAAAGTCACATCCTCTAAGAACACATTGATATAAATGGGGTAATAATTGGTTCTGGCACACCAATCTGTTTTCAATCAAATGAGGGTCAAAATTCATGAATGAACATAATTGGAGGTCATATATTACCACATTCCAGATCCTGCCCATTTTTTTCTCTTTTCTATCCATTCTTTTTAACATAGTGATAATATTCTATCTTATTTCAATAACACCATAATCATTATCATTTTGTTACTGGTGACAGAGAGTAACACTGTAAGTAAAAAAAAAAAATTTTTTTTTTTTGGAATTCTTACCAGATTCTTTTGAGAACAAATCAATATTTCTTTTCTATTTGTGTTATTTATTATGGTATTTGGTTCTCTCTTTAAGTAAAACACACAAAAAAAAGTGTTGGAAGTTAACTGCTGGCTACTTCATTACAATATATCCATCAATATATTTATTTTGACCCCCCCCCCCTTTTAAGGTGAAACGTCACGAGTAGAGAGAGTTATTTTTAACAGGATGGTTATAAGCACCTTTACTGCTGAAGACAGAGCTGCTGACAAAAACAAATTTTACATTCCATTTCACCAGATTTGTATGACATAAGCGACTGAGGTTTTATACAACATTAGTGGCTATAATTTCATAAGACAACTGACAAAGATTTCTAAAACTTAAGATACATACAAACTCGTGTACTTAGTTAATACAATATTTTTACATTGAGTCAAACTCAATGAAATATGCCATTTGAAAACCAACGCCGTTTTCTTCCTCACAAATTCAACACCACTTGGCCCTTCACTGTGGAAATCAGGTCACAGGTTTCGTTCAAAAATGAACCCCACACAATTCCAGTTAATCAGAATATAATTGCGTCCCCAGACAACGAGGTACTGACAGAACTAAGGTAATTATCTAAAAATTTCAAACACCTCGATTTATGCAATATTTTACTTCATTCATTTTTAAAAAGATTTATCGTTGTCAGACACTCACAACAAAATACAATCTACAAAAAGGAAAACAGTTTTTCAAGATTTCTTTTGTAGCAAAATTTTGAAGTATTACTTACACAACTTTTTTTCCTGAATGTTTTTATTAATTCATGTTGTTCAAATGTTTTGAATTATCACCGTATACCGTGCCCTCGACTTACAAAATTAAATCAACCACTCAAATTGTCAAGACTGTAGTGGCAGTGGTGCAGTTAAATCACTTGGTTAGATTACTAATGTGATCTCCACTTGTGAACTCTCGGCTCAACTTCACCTTAACTGACACCAAACTGAGTTAATTTCGTAGAAAAAACAATAAATAAAAATAACAAAAAAACAATTTTAAAAAATTCAAAATCAAATAGCCTCCATGTAAATATGACCACAAAAACGGTCCCAAGCGGACTAAACTGACCCAGTTTATATATATATACCAGAGTTCAACTTGACCNCTTTTCAATTTTCTCATCTCCATACTCCTCAAATTTGACACTATTTTTGGATGGCCATTTACTAACATTAAACACTTGTACATTCTCACACACAGAATCCTGGTCCCTCAATACATCTCCAAAACGCTCTTCAATTGTACTTATGCTGTCCTTCAAAAACTGGGTTAAATCATTCACAATGGCACCCTTACATTTCTCAATATTTTCTCCTCTACCAAGTCGTACAGTTTCACCTTTGAATTCAAATTCTTCAAGGTCTACAGTTTTGGCTGATTCCTCAACCTTTTCCTCTACGTTGAACCTTTTCAGCAATCTGAGTGTTGCCTTAATTCTGCTTTGAGCACAGGACATTATGTATGAGGATTCCTGCAAGGCCAAGCTGATTGACTGAAGGATTTCAAGTATCTCCTGCACAACAGGAAGGGCAATCACAATCTTTAAATTTGTCAAGGTATTGTTTATCTTTTTGGCTTTTCCCAATATCTCAGCTCTTTTACTTCCAATACCTTCCACTATCTGGGTACTGTGCACAACCAGTGGCTTCCATAACTTTTTCAAGACAGTTACAGCTCTTGATCTGTGGGATATCCACCTTGTTCCCATTACATTCTCTGGGCTGTTGAAAGCAATGTTATGTGTGCTGCAGGTAGTTTTCAGAGCTTCCTTCTGCACAGATGATGATTTGTAGAGCTTGTAGATAAGCTGACACAAGTCGGAAAACTCTTGCACAACAGAACTTTTTTTCCCGCCATCTCTGATAGCCAACTCAAACCTATGGGCCAAGCAGTGTATGCCAACTGTCTCGGGCATCAATTCACACAATCTGCGGTACACACCATTTCTAACTCCAAAATTTACACTTGCACCATCAGCCACAAATGCTATAAGGCCTTTCAAATCATCTACACCTACATAGTTCTTGATACTGTCACACAAATGGTCAAAAATATGTTCAGCATCTGGTTTCTCTACACTGGAGATACAAAGAAACACAGTTCTTGGTTGGTTTTCATCAGTAAGATATCGAACATAGACAATTTCTTCCTCTAGGGAAGCACTGTCAGTACACCCATCACACAGTATTGAAAAAAAGAAACCTTTTCTAATATTTGTGGCAAGATTGTCTCTTAAATCCTTTGCAATATACTTGATAAACTCAGCACATGATTTATCTGATGAGAAACGTGTGGTCAGATTTTTTGATGCACCAACTCTCTCCAAAAGTTCTAATTCCCCAGAGAAGGAGGTGTAAGGTTGGTTACAAATAGCTACTTTGAATGCAGTAATAAATTTTGCATGCATCAACTCTGTTTCAGATTCTTCTATCTTCATGAAACTTTTTTGTAAAGGTTTTCTTTCTGGTGGAGTCATTTGAGACAAAGCTGCTGCTGTACAACGTTTATGGAGATCACTTTCCTGATGACCCAAGATGACTGGCAGTTTGAAAGTCCTGCACCCCTCAATAAATGCTATGCTGTGTGGACCCAATTTACCTATCTTCTTGTGGTTTGAAACACAGTACGAGCACCATATTTTGTCATCATCATTCGTAAGCCAGGGTCTGCCGATTTTCCAAGATTCTTGAAATGTTCTGGAGCGTTTTTCTTTCTCGTACCTAACTTCCTTTACAGAAAGTTTACCTTTACTTGGCCTTCCTCGCCTTTGTTGATTGCTGAATGATGACGAAGGTTGTACTGCAAGAACAAAAATTGAATAATGTATTCTTTTAAATGGAGAACAAAACACCTAAATTACTGCATTTATCAGGCTGTGTGTGTGTGTGTGTGTGAGAGAGAGAGAGAGAGAGAGAGAGTTTTTGTCTTTAAATAGTTGTTTGTGTGCATGTGTGTGTATATGTTTAAGGCCCTTATCAAATCTATTCTTATGCATAAAAAGCCCAGATGTATTTTACAAATCACAGGTAATGAAATACAAGTATTTCTCATTTGCCACACCTGTAAGTATCATAATATGTGCCTTGGTCTAAGACATCTCCTGCACATGCCATACAAACAAACTGGCAGCTTGGCCAATTAACTTGGTCAATTAACTTGCCCCTTATGCTGTTAACAATGCAAAAACAACAAAGAATGGGCCCAGCCAGGCCTTAATAAACTTGGGGTCTGGGCTTTTTATGCATGGGACTAGATTTGGTCTGGGCCTTTGACATATATATATATATTTATATGATCTCTCTCAATACAAGTTGTCTGTTTCAAATTCTTTTTTTTTTAAGCTTTAAAAAAAAATTAAAATTTTTTACCATTTTGCTCCTGAACTTCATCAGATTCAGTAAAACTGTCACTGTCGAAATTTTCCATTGGTTCATCTTCTTTGGCAGCTAAAAAGTATTAGTGGTTGATTGTGATTTTACTTTAATTATATACAGATACAGAAAAATTACTGGAAAGTGTTGACGAGAACAGTAATGTGAATATTTAATCATAAAACAATGAAAATAAGGGAGACTCTGGACATATCAATTATCATGATTTCTGAAACCATGGTCAAGCCAATACAACAATTGGACCTATTTTAAGTGTGCACAGTGATTAATTTCATTCAAAACTTGTGTCATTACTTACTAGTTGGGCAATTTTATACAAATTAGAAAAGGAGAAGTTGAAGAAGTGCAGTGGAATTTCCATATTAAAAACACCCCTTTGTCAGATGTAAAGGGAATAAAGATCTCAGGTCCTTAATTTTAAGGCTAGAATAACGCATGACATCTATAAAATGTTCGTTGGTCGATAGGAGTTCATTGAAAAACAAACCAATCACTTCACAAACAGACTAATTTAGTCTAAATAGAGGCTCTTAAGAAAAACCGAAAATTGGAGGATAAGGAAAAAAATCAGTCTGTGAAATGGCCGATTTGTTTTTCAATACATCATGTCACCAACAAAGAGAATAAGGTAGGGCAGTTTTTATGTTTACCACGTAACAGGAAAGTAATAACGTCATGTGTGGTTCATTAGATACAAAACTTGTTAGGCATTGTTTACGACGTACCTGCATCGTGGCCATGTGCGCCCGCTTCACCCTCAGTTATTGTGTCCTCAAGTTCTTGTTTAGCGAGTTTGCTCGTTTTTTCCATGCTTTCATCTTTGCCTTTTCGCTTGGAGAAACCAAACTTAAAGAGAGACATTTTCAGGACACCAAACGTGAGCCCGTCTTTAGCGCGCAACCTTGCTTCAGCCGATCGTGCATGGAGGGATGAATAATACTAGTTCCCCGTATTACGCTGCATGGTGCGTGCCGTTGTGTATGATTGGGCGCTGCGTCTAGCATTGTTCCCGCACATTATTTTGTTCTCACAAGCTTCGTATGTTTGTACCTGTCTATGTTATACCCGCTAGCTGCGCAGGCTTGTTTCTTTCTAAGTCAAACATTGTGTAAATTGGAAAGGGAACGAGTCAGATATTTTAGCAGACATCCACAAAGGGGCATTGTGGGATACTACTGTGAGTGAACGATTTTGATTGACAACTCTCATGAAATTCAAAAGGAGGCCCCGTTACAAATTCTAGCTAGTCACGTGAGTGCGTCCTTAGTTTCAGAGCATGTGCAGTACTTCCGTATAGCTTTTTTGCGTTGTAGAAAATGGTTAAATAAATGTATTAGTACAACTTAGTGCCAGAAAATGAGTTTTATTATAGGTCGGGAAAGCGACCTTTAATAGCGATTTCCCGAGAGGTTTTTGCATTTCCCGGACCTTTTTAATGATTTACCGGACGGGAAAGTAAGACTTGACATAGCTTTCCCGAGCTCGCAATTAGCTTTCCCTCGGGAAAGCGGGAAAGCAACATTTCGACCCCTGTTGTCATTACAAATCCTTGCAAATGAGGGAGAAAAGTTCTTCAGAAGCACTCACACTGTAGTTTACAAGTGTTATAAGTGACACACCAAATTCAACAGGTGAGGATCCAATGCTATATTTTATGACAATCTTCCAAACTATCTTTGTTTTTCCATTTTCCATTGTTGACCCTCTTTCGACACAGAAAATTCGATGCATGTCAATGTAAATTTGAAAAATTCTGACTGTCTTCCAGAAGACGGGCTCTGTTTGTCCCAGATCAACTCTTCCAATTATAATCAATCAATCAATCAATCAATCAACAAAACAATCACATAATCAATAAAAGTCCACCTCACCTTTGCCTGTGGCCACAAATCCTTGATAACCTTTTCTATCCTGCGTACGACATCCTGGCGCATGTAGTGCTCCTCCCTGCGCGGCAACATGTATTGGTACAGGTCAATGATCTCTTCATGGAGGCTGAAAAAGACAGGGAAAGCACCTGTTTACAGATAGTTATGGTATAATTATATGTTCTAGCTATTGGAATAGATCTTTTCTATACAGTAAAGCATTGAGATCTTGTGTCAGTTAGGAGGTATTCCAGATGTCCGAGAGAGAGAGAGAGAGAGAGAGAGTGTGTGTGTGTGTGTTTGTGTGTGTGCACGCGCATGCATTTAAGTGATCAATATAAGCCAGTGGTAGATTCAGTTCACCTTGCATTTAGGTTCCACATGGATCAACTTGGTATAGCCTAGACAGAAAACTTCTGACCCCAAAGACAACATAAAACAATCACATAGACGTATTTACAATGTATCATCTGAGGTGGAATGAGCAGCATTGTTAATATAATTACATTTAGCGAGAGTACTTCCGATTTGGATCGATCTACCTCATGCAAAGTTTCACTGTGAACTCTCCCCTACAGTATGCAGGTGGCAAATTAACAAGGCCATGTATACATGTGTGTTTGTGTGTGTGTGTGTGTGTGTGTGTGTGGGTGGACAGCGACCCTCGTACATCAATTTGTGGTCCCATAACAGTGTTCTCCATTGGCCTATCAGACCACATGGAAGGGAAAGTATTTCCTCCTACATAGGTTTCCTTTGAAAAAAAAAGTGACTATGCACCATTTAAAGCTAAAAAACATCATTATACGATCCGAAATTGAAATGTTATTTCGTAAATAACCCCTATAACACTGTTCAGTAATATCATAATATGTACAAAACAGAGTTTTTAATGATTTCTTACATATTTCATGATTGTTTAATACAACAGATGAATCCAGTAAGCATAGACCCATTATGGGAAAACAAGTTGTACATGATCATTTTAGCTGAACATGCACATGAACAATTACTGCATATTTGGGAACAGACTGAATCACAGACACTTATTCTTTGAAATACAGTCCTCTAGTAACACAACACAGGCTGACAAGAAATATCAAGATTCACACTTCTTTCTCATAAGATGACGACTCTACACCCCCCACTGCTGAACAATATAATACAAAATAGTAAAGAGACAGTGAGATACAAAATACTGAGAATGATTTTATTTTAAAANGGCGCCATATAAGAAACTTATTATTATTATTATTAAAAGAGTTACATAAATCCCATGTTAGCTGTGTTAACTACATATCACCTCTTTATGTCCTAATATCTTGGTGCTAAATATTGGCTGACCACAGAGGTCCATCCTGACCACACCCTGTTCTATCAATGACTCATTATGTATACTAAGGACCTATACTGGCTCATTGTATAAGTACAAGTACATACACAGGAGTATACTTTAGCTTAAAAATTGTAGACTTCTTGAATCTTCAATTCAAAATAAGCTCACAGAAGCCATGTATTTTTTGGTAGAAAACGGACCACATGTTTCTTTTAATTGGACTACAACTGGTTTCTCTTGTGCCAAAGTTTTCAAACTGAACTTATGGTATAGAATGATTAATAGTAGACTAATTCTCAATTAGAGATTGTTTTATATATCAAGCCCCAAAGACCGTGAGAGTGAATTCATTTGCTGTCACTAAACGCCATGATCTTGAATAGAGAAAGTGACACACTTTCAGCAACTGTCTAAACATGAAATAAACCACATCCTTGGAGACCTAACAGTGACAACAAAAAAAAAAAACTTCACATCAATGGAATATACAAACAAATTAACTTCATTATATTTTCAGTGGTGGCACATTGATGAGGAAAAGATCACAAAAGGCATGTATCTAAAACTTATTAATTTTTACTTTCTTTTTTTTTTTTTTTGGGGGGGGGGGAGACTCTTTCCTCATCTATATTTAAATAAAGCATTTAAGCTGTATCCATGGAAACCAAACAAGAAAAACAATACCTTAAATGGGCAAAAACAGACTCAATTTCTTAATGTGAAATACTAACAGGAGCAACAAATAAGCAAATAAATACACAAACATAACAACTTTATTGAAGTAAGCAAAAATTGAGATGCACATCACTATTTGACCCAACTCTCATTTCATTTCAATAAAAGTACAAGCACAATGAATTTCGGGCAAATATTGATCATATACAACCCCATATAACTGCTGCCTGTGTGAGGGAGTGTGTGTGTATGGAGTTAGCAAATTCCTCAGTACTATTTCTCTGATGAGCCATCAGATCATGGGAGGGCAGATACATACAACAATCTTTAGGTGTATTCAGGACAAGTTAAACTGTGGACAAACAAATATATGTGGACCAAATATGCTGACCCCTCTTGAAAGCTTGCCGCATAATCCCTTAAAAGACACTGAATAAACCCCCCCAGGGATTATGCAGTAAGCTTTCAAGTGGGTCGACAATACTTAATCTGTGGATCAACTTTGGTTGTGAATGCTGCCTTAGACATAGTACTTAGAGGCAAGGTTCACAAGACAGCACTAGCCCAAAGTTGGTCTTCATGTTAAGAGTGCAAAATCTTGGTCCAACTCAATTCAGAATAGATCCATAGTAGTCTTAAGTATTGAATGAAAGTAACTTTGTGTCTTAAACTTAAGCCAACTGGAATTCCTTGAGGCTCAACTTTGTTTAACTGGACTACTTAGTACTAGTCTACCACTGACAAACCAGGGTACAAGTCATCCCATTTGAATGTTATAGTTAAGACAACTACTAGTAGTGGTCTTAAGATGAAAACAACCCCAGGATATCAGAACTGTTACAGAGAGTAACAACCTCAGGATATCAGAGCTGTTACAGAGGCTAACAACCCCAGGATATCAGAACTGTTACAGAGGGTAACAACCCCAGGATATCAGAACTGTTACAGAGGGTAACAACCCCAGGATATCAGAGCTGTTACAGAGGGTAACAACCCCAGGATATCAGAACTGTTACAGAGGGTAACAACCCCAGGATATCAGAGCTGTTACAGAGGGTAACAACCCCAGGATATCAGAGCTGTTACAGAGGGTAACAACCCCAGGATATCAGAACTGTTACAGAGGGTAACAACCCCAGGATATCAGAACTGTTATAGAGGGTAACAACCCCAGGATATCAGAGCTGTTACAGAGGGTAACAACCCCAGGATATCAGAACTGTTACAGAGGGTAACAACCCCAGGATATCAGAACTGTTATAGAGGGTAACAACCCCAGGATATCAGAGCTGTTACAGAGGGTAACAACCCCAGGATATCAGAACTGTTATAGAGGGTAACAACCCCAGGATATCAGAGCTGTTATAGAGGGTAACAACCCCAGGATATCAGAACTGTTACCGAGGCTCACACAGCTGTTGTGGGGAAAAATAACTGACTGACAGCCACCAAATTTAGAACAAAAGTTTGTTTTGGTCACTTGCATAATAATTTTCTATTTATAAAACAGATGCCAAGATGACCACTGAAAAACAAAGCACTTTGGAAATGCAAGGGGTAAAGGCAGGCAGGTCTTTGTGAAGGGTCTGCTTGGGGGAGGGGGGGGCGGGCATAAATCAAACATCTAGGTTTTCAGATAAATCTAGAAGAATTATCTCTTGTAAAATGTACTTAACAAGAAGTTAACACCCTCTCCCCTCTGTCACTCTTTCTCCCCCCTCTCTTTCTCTCACTCACACACCCTCACTCTCTCACTTATACCCCCTTTACACTGGACGGCTTCCTTTCTGCGACCATGAAATTTGGCATCGCTGTGGTCTTAATAAGGAGGCACGAGCATTTATTTGGTATCAGAATGAATGCTCAATGATCGGCCAGTTGTCAGCACGTAAAGTATTATAATTCTTTAACTCTCAAATAGGGCCGAACTGCTGGACGCAGAAGGGACGCCGTCCAGTGTAAAGGGGGCTTTACTAGTGAGTACTCATGCTCACTCTCTCCACTGCACCAAAGTCTGTCAGACCACTGTTCATCAGTCAACAGTTTGGTCACAGTTCACGGCTAGCTGACCATGCAGATAGTGGGTGAGATCTCTATCACTTGACCTCCTGTGGACTGACAACTGGACTCATTCAGCCCAGCTCTGAGTCAGTGACCTTGTTTTTTTTCTTAAAAAAAGGGCTTGACCAGTTAGAATACAATGTCTTCTCTGTATACCTGGGGGGCAACAAGATAGAGAGCAGGATGCAAGACGAGATTATACAAAGATGTATTTTACCCAGGGGTGAAAGTAGGACGTGTCAACTTCAGTCAATTTTTAGCTTCAATACTTTCACACTCCAATTTGAAACAACTCCATTACTTAAATTTATACTATTCTCACTGGTTTTTCATATGTATTCCAGATTTGATTCGAAAACGTGATTTTACTCTTAGAATTACTGAGGTGATGAGGCACGAGGACATCTTCTCCATGAACCCAAATACATCATTACCAACAGTGTAGTTCAAAATGTGACTTGTCTCAAAAATATCCAGATATGTCTAAAACTATCCAGATATTTGGCTAAAAGACAAAGAACACATTGATCTGCAGACTAAATATGGCCCATTCACTTAAAAGCAGCGCCGACTAATCCCCTGACAGCCTCTTGCCTCTACATTCACCATTCTTGACTTCAAACTTTAAATATGAATTAAATTTAGATTTTCATTGATTTTCAACTTTATTATAAAAAAAAAACTTAGAAGTGTAATAGTAGCTTATTCTTTTTTTTTTTTAAATTTGATATGACCCATTGTAAAACCTAAAAGTTAACCCACTATACTTCAAAGTCTAGAGTCTGAGAAAAAAACATTCGCAATCAGTACATGTCCATGTTCTACCTCATCTGTTTGCAGTTAGAAAGATCAAGAATTCACTGTAACAAATGTGCTCTAGCATGGTGCGATCTGCCCCAGGAGAAAAAACAAACTTATTTTTCTAACAAACAACATCCCTAGGGGAGAAGCAGTGCAATGGAGGGTGACAAGAACCGTCTACAGACTGGACTCATGTAAAACCGTTCCTGTGGTCTTAAATGTGTTACAAGTACAATGAGTCACCAGGCAGAGCCTGTCCCTGTCTAAACACACCATTCCAGATCCAACTGTGTGTCAGACATTTAATAAATTAATTAGGTCATTAAAATGGTGTTTTGTTGACTTGAAATGGTTTTAGTATAAAAATCTGTCTGAATTGAGTAAAACACATGGCTTAATACAATGAGTTCACACTACTAAGGTGGTCGAATACTACTAAGACTACTACACACGCCTGGTAATTTTTTTTCAAAATACTGCTGGGATATATTCTATTACAAAATACTCTGGCCTGAGGCCACCTTCCCAGCCTTCTACAAACTCTCCTGAAACAGGTTGGTAACAAGGTGTTCAGAAAGCACCAAGACCTCTCGCTAAAAATAAAGGCAAGCATGGGAGGTATATTAGATAGAGTAGAACAGCCGGCCTTGTTGTATATATATGTGTAATGCTATGCAGAACACAGGTAATGGGTTTTCAGGCACACTTGTTGTCTGTTGTATCCAGTCTAGAACACGAACCAATGACTTAATTTTTCGTGTCAGATTCAGGCATAAAATAAAACTGCCGATTAACAATCTGCTGATTAGACTGGAAAATCCCTCTTTCTGATAATGGTTCTACCAGCTGTTTATGAGGGTTGTTTACTACAGGGAGACGGCTCTGAAAACCAGTTCACATCAGCTTAAGTTCACACCTGTACACAGTCTAATAGAAACCAGTTCACACCAGTTTTAAGTTTACAATTGTACACAGTCTAAAAGAAATCAGTTCACATCAGCTTAAGTTCACACTTGTACACAGTCTAACAAAGACTTGTTCACACTAAACTCAATTTAAACCTGGATACAATCTAAACATCACCAAAAACATGTTCACTTTAAGGAAAGCTTGGACCTTTACATCAAGTTAATCCTATTTATACCACCCATCTTATTAAGACACAAAATCAAACCCTCAGTTATAGTCATCTAATTTAACCTCACATTGTACCTTGTGTGAACTGGCACAAACATAGGTCACTTTACACACCCTACTTTTTCTCTCACATATAATTATCTAAAACTAGGTGACCATTATCTTTCCTAATAATCTAGTTTTTTTCATGAATCTTGTTTCACGCTAACAAGCTGATAGCTGTGATGAGGGATCTAGTTTAAAAACCAGACCTAGAGCCAGTCTAAATTCAAAGATCAGAACCTTGGCTACATTTTAGTACAAAACTAATCCCCAGTAGTCTACAACCATCAAGTAAAATATTGCTGTAAAACAAAACCTATTTATTTCTTTTTTAACAGGCCAAATATTTACTAGTTATTTTGCAGACTAAGCACTGATTTAGCAATGGTCAAAGCAGACTTTAAAACAATATTGATCCTACAGTTATGACCAACTAGCTAAGTTCTTTTGACCCCCCCCCCCCCCCTCCTCTTCCTCCTCCTCTACCCCTATCTAAATAGCCTGACACTAGCTGCCTTCCATAAACAACTTGTTTTGACTGGTTCAACAGGATTATCCAATAAAACTAAAAGGTCACAAAAAGGTCAATTACTGAATGGCCTTGACATTGGGCTGTTTACCATTTCCTATTTTCCTCTATTTTCAGCAAATTTTCAAGATTGGTGACCATGTCTTTTTCCTTTATTTCCTATAATGACTCTGATATGTGTGTGAGTCCATGTCAACAAGAAATGAAACTGGGGCAAAAATTACACAAACAGTCATGGAAATAAAATAACTAAAAAAAATTAAGACTTATTTCTTCTCATTTTTTAAAACTATTTTTTGTCATTATCAATCAATCAAAAAAACACTATTATTTAATTAGCACAAGATGAGCATCATTGATTTTATAGTTCAGATATCCTATTCATCATTTTTTATTATTTAAAAACACATTTCATTCATCCTGAAGCTGCATTAAATGTCCCAAGTAGTGTGAAATTACAGAACATGTATGACTCGACACTTAGTAGACCAGTGACATTAACAGAATTATGATGTAGGCATTAAATGTTAATGCTTTCCATCACAAACATTTGGGAGAGAAGTGTTTGATAACCATTTGTGGTATATATTCATGATGTGTGTGGGATGAAGGCAGCTTGTGTCAATCGTGTTTTTATACCAGACTGAGCTCATTGCACATATTGTATAATGTGCATGCAGTTACATCTACTAGTATCCAATTAATTTAGAGATGAAGGCCACAGGACTCTTTCTTTCCAATTTTTTTCTCCATAAAGCCTTATAAAACTGAATGAGACTTGGGAACAGTTTATAATGAAATCTTACAAAGAAACCTAACTAATGATTAATAAACCTCCTTGTGTTTAATACAAACTGTTTGTCATTGTACACTTTTTGAGGCATTTGCTTTCATGCCTAAGCTTAGTGTACATATAGAAAATATCAATAAGATTAGGTGTGTTTACCCATGATATTTGTGGTTGTTGGACTGAGAAGGTTATTATTTTTTAAAAAAGATTTTGCTCATGATCAAAAAGTTAAAATCAGGAATTAAAAAACACTGATAGAGGGAAGGTGTTAATCACAAAAAACGATGTTAATCCACCGAGAGAGAAAACCAGTCGTGTGGTACACCAGTACTTGGCTGCAGCTACTGTGGTTAAGTAAGATAATACCTGCTTAACTGGGTCCCAAGTTGCATAACTAAGTTACTAACCGCGACGCTGATGACATGATTCGGCCAAATTCGCTGGGGTTTTCTACTTACCTCAGCTATCTCAGATCTTTATTATCACACCCCGTTGATCTATAAAGATAATTATTATATCCATAATGTGAAATACTAACCCAATCACACCAGGAGAATAATTTCTTCCCCTCGGTATCCAGGGTGTCAAATGACCATTATCCAACAACTGAGTGTTTGATGAATGATTGAGACCGAATGTACTAGCTTTGTTATCCTTTTTCTTTCTCGTCCTAAAATCTTGATATTTTATATTATTTGTTCTAGATGAACTGTGGTCTCTTTGGTCGTAGTTGTTTGTGTTAAATTCTAACGGAATGTACTCCTGAGTTTTCTGCTCCAAATTTGGATTGGCGTTGTTGAGATACAGGTTTTCCATCTTGATCAGGTGCGTTTCCCACAATCTAGTCCACAACTGGTGCGCTGGTCCAAGTTGTTCTGGCGGAGACCATCCAATTCTTGGATCCATTCACCCGTCCAAACAGTTGCCAATATAAAAGAAACGGACATAAACTTAAAGATTATCAACAGAAATCACCGGCACATTCTAGGTCTTCTTGGCCGACATTTAAAACTCTTGCGCATGCGCTAATAGAAGGTCTCGTTGAGGTCACTGAAAGCTCAGCAGGTCTATGCTTGTCTGACCACTGCCAAATAATCTAATCACCGTGTTGATTCTGTGAATTTCAAGAGCAATTTAATATTCCCAGCTCATGTACAATTTGACGAGTCTAAGGATAGGGCAAGGTTATTCTTTGAAACTTGATATGCCCTTAGAAAATAGTACTTCAACGCACGTAACAAGAAATGCAAAGATGAAACCACGCTTTCCCTTTGGAGCTAGTTGTATAATAGCTTATTTCCTTTTCATCCGAAGAAAGGAGCAGGGTATCATGTATATATATGTCGACCTTTACTAGCATATTTGCTATAGAACGACAATTGCCTCAGATTGTAGTAAAAATCGGTGCAAAAACTTTGACATAAGTGACATACGTGTTCGGTATTCTTAATTTATCTAACCAATCAGCGCAAGGATTCTTGACCTAATTCCTGGAGGCGAAAAAGGGAGTGTACTAAACAGTTTAGACCATTTACGTTTTGTGGAAAATAAAAATAACTCGACTTGTCAAAGAGATTGGAGAAAGTTATATATTTAAAATTAATTTCTTATAAATGATACAGTTAAACAGGTGTGTCAATTATATTTTTCAATTCTAGTTTTTGTTAAATTTAAATTAATTTTTATAACATATAAAAATGTTGATCACGTTTATGTTGTTGTATAGGGAAATGATTTCATGTCTCTTATTTGGGCACAGAGTAAAGTCATTTTCAGTTTTTTCTTCTCTTTTTACTATGTTTTACGTAATATCTTTCATACATGTGCCAGTTAATTACTAGTAAACAGCCTCTAATAACTGACACATAGAACTGAAAAGTGAAAAAACGCGCATTCATTATTTTCTTTTTTGAAGTTGCTAAAATACAAACATTGTCAAACACCGCACAATTCCAGCTTGCCTTGCAACTAAAAAATAGACCCATGCAGCTATAGTGCACAAGTTAAAACCAATTTCAGTAAATGCAATTTTTAATGAAATACCCAAATGCGACACAACAGTTGTTGGATATCAAGGCACAATGCCACTGGGACCTCAATTACTTTGAAGAAAATTTTAATGAAACCGCTTTGTTCACAAAGGCAGAACAAACAATTTGGTCTCCAAGCATGCATGAATTTGAAACGGGTACCTGACAAATTAAACAGCCACCCTCAGTTTCAGAGGACATTGAATACCCTCCTCTCTAATATCAGGACCAAAGAGGCATGTTGATAGTAGAGATTAGTTTCCTATTTTTTACCAGAGACCTCACCAGCTGTTACAAATTAGGATAAAAGATTTCAACAGATTCTGTAACTGCTGGAGGTTGGAACAGCTAACATTAAGGGTAGTTATGAGATTCTGCTATCCTCTCAGACTCTGAGGGTGGTTGGGGATAGTGGTGGTGGGGGGGGGGGGGGGGGAGGACAGCTTAACCAAGTGTATTCTTTTACTTCATGCTTAGTCAGGCCATTTTGCCTGGTTCAAGGGAAGACCCAT